TATTATAACTACTCGGACAAACAAACATACGGAACAAGGCTCCACTCAGAGTATCACCCAGGACCCGGTATAGCTGTGGTTCTCGTGCTTCGGCGCTCACGCTAGGACTGTCCAGGTCTTCGCCTAATATGTGAATTTGCGGGTGCCAGCGTGACTTCGACGTCTTTGATCCCTTCGGAAAGAATGCTCGATATCCTTGCTGAAAGTTTGCTTGCAGCTCACAAATCATGCTGTCCCGCATGCTTAGAAAGGATTGTGGAATTAAAGGGGCCACCCCTCAGCCTCGTTCTGCTCCGGAAAACTGTGTCTGCAGTGGCGCTGGCAAGCCTGCATCATGGATGAACTCGGCCTTAATGGGCCGCAATCACGGCACCAGCCGGTCGTGTGAGATTGACAATCCACTCGCTGGCCTCTTTCACTTCTTCCTCGGTTGGCCCTGCTTTTGGGGCATCCGGCCGGGCAATCGTGAGGATCCATTGCCAGCTCTCTTCCTTGGCGGGCTTCGGCTCCGCTTGCTTGGGCACAGTGCGGACCACGTTCTGAGTTACGGATGGCCGTGGCCTGGTCTGAATCGTGGCTTGGGGGCCAGCTTGCACAACCGATGGCCTTGCCTGGGGTTGGGCTGGAGCTGTGTGGGGTTGGGCTGGAGCTGTGAAGGATGCGTAGCGGTAGATTTGGGGAGCAGCAGGGACCATCTGCCGTACTGAGACGGGGGTTGAATTTGGGGTGGTCTGGCGGCTGAAACCTTGAACGACATTGCCAGTGGCCGGCCACACTGTCCGGGGGGTGCTGTAGGCGATCGGACCAGGTTGAGTGCTGTAGGGCTGAAACTTCTGAGACCGATTCAGGCTCTGGCTCTGTGCGATGTGGCTTAAAGGTGGGCTTCCAGCCAAAAGTGTGCTATGTGATGCAGGAGCTGCTCCGGAGTAAACGACTCTGCCAGGATAGCCTTGCTGGCTTGGTTGGACTCCGGCCGCCGCCATCAGCTGCGCAGGACTGTACATCGAAGCCATGTGCTGACCTTGCGAGGCCTGGCCCGCTTTTGTTAAATCGGAAGTCCTGTTTTGGAGCCCAGAGACAGACTCGAGCCGTAGCCATGTTGAACACATGGAAAGACTGAGGCTTCTTGCAATGATGCTTGGGCATGCAGAGCACGCAATTGCAGCTTTGGCACCCAAGCCGCGGCACACCTTGGTCTGTCAAGCCGATCAAAGGGTGAGGGCTTTGAGCTCGGGATTCAGCACAGCAATATCACACCAACTCCCTTCAAGCCAAGAGTTGTGCGGACTTCGAAGACCTCTCATGTCCAAGTTCGCACCGGAGTGTTAGTTGGGGCATGTCCCCGGAGCCACTCTGAAGTTCGAGTGATATAGGGGCTTTAATCATTGGAAGGTCTTGAATTCTGGGGTATACGGATACCGCTCGTCTCCCGCACCCCCAGCTTTCCTGCAGAGCCGAGCCCAAACGCAGACCGTCAGACTTCAGAAAAAGCCGTTTCTAATTGTCCTGAACGGATTTGAAAGCTTCGAGACGACTTTAGGTAGTCCACATGTACCGGGAAGGACTCGTGACAAAACAAAGCACGCGCATAATTCTGCAAAGACGCTGCTCGGATGACGGAACCGAAGGGGTCGGTGGCCAGTTGTGTGGACACTGTTGGGCCTCATAGTTGGCGTTGCTTGGCTTGAAAAGTCTTGGGGTTTAAGACAATTCCAAAGATCCAGGGCGCTGGTGTCGAGAACGGTGAAGATGCCTATCTATCCGAAACAGCCGAACCACCAACCCCGAATCGATGCTTGGCTGCTTGACACAGCAACCAGATACGACATTCACGCACGATGCTATCAGGAAGCAAAGCGCCGTGATCATCACCATCAGCGGAAGCCATTTTGCACATCACCAGCATCAAGAAGCAGACCATAAATGTTACACAATCTCAAAAAAACAGGGCAGCAGCACCACCTGCCTACACCTGCATCGTCTTCAGTAAGTCCTAAACACAACCCGGCCACAACATGCAAGCGACTAAGGCGATCAAGAACAGCAGCAGCAGCAGCAGCAGCAGCAGCAGCAGTATCAGTACGCAAATAAAATGCAACAACGATCATCAAAGCAACGAAAAAACATAGGGAGGAAGCGTACCGGGGTAAGGCCAAGTTGGAAATGTGAAATAAAGCAGCCACATGTCAATAGCAGCAACAGCATCAGCAACGGCATCGGCAACAGCATCGTGCAATGATGACCTGACGGGTCCATTCCCAGCTGAGGCACCGCAGTCCCCAGGCTCAGAACCGGGCTGGTACTGCGCAAAGGCGCAGAACCACCTTGGGCAGTGGGCACCGAACGGTAGGCAAGAGTGCCGCATTCGGTAACATGATTAGCCCTGGCCCCCAAAGGCCCGCAGGATGGTGGCACAGGAACAGCATTGATGTGCGCGAAATAACTGTTGATAGGTGACAACAATGAAACAAGGTTTCGCGAAAAAAGTAGAGGAAGGAGGCTTCACCTCCTTAATCCAGCCACATGCTGCGAACCTTCCACGAATCATAGAAAATCTGATAGCAGTTCGTGACGCTGCTGTTGGAGGATGTAGTACGTAGTGCGTAGTGGTGGGCCAGAAGCCATCCAGCAAAATCGCTCCCATGTGCTGCTGAGCCGCAGAACCACAGCCAAGGCCCAGTCTTTACCTTGGCTTCCAGCGCGCCCTACTCCAAGCCTCAGCCCTCGACCCTACTTTCAATTCAGCTTGCAAGTCTGCTTGCGAATCCTCCAAGGTCATTTAACAAGAAAGCCATGACTCATGAATCATATGTGACCATCAAGTCTGGTGTGACCGAATATTGAGAGCTCGCACTCAAAGCTCCTATCCCCAATTGCCGATTCAGCATCTCCAGCCCTCGAGTTCCTCTTAGCCCTAACAGCTTCGGATTGAACTCCCACTTGTGTCAGCGCAAAGGGCTCTAAGATGGACATGCTTGGCACTTCTAAAAACCCCTGAAACCACGGACATGGAGAAAGCAATGCTTTGTTTGTGGCTTCTTTCTGTCCCATCTCCGCCGTCGTTGGATGGTCTCCCGAGAAGTTGAGACCTCCTGCCTGTAAATTGGCTCTGCATCTTTAAACCAACCTTTCTTGTTCAGAGGGACCTCTTGTCATCGCGACCAGGCTCAGAATATAAACCTGCTGCAGCATTTATAGGGTCCAAAAGTGTCTAAAAAGCCTCCGAAACATCTCGAGCTTACGGGCCTGAAAGTCCCCAACAAGAGGATAGGCGCATGCTTCTTCGCGCACGAACCCAAACGTGATTGTAGGGCCTGTACATCTAACGCATGCCTGCATTAAAGCATGGCACCACGAGACTTTGAAAGCTGCTCCATTGTTGCAGCAGTTCTGCCGCTGTTGTTTTACCAGCGGTTGTATTCACAGGACGATCTGCCGTCTGCAGGCAGGGCGTGTGAGAGATGGTGAAGATCTCTCAGTTCTGCCGCTCACCTCGCTTTCGCTCAACTGAGCTCAGCAGAGCCTCTCGCTTTCTGCGGATGACTCTTCGCTGGAATCCGTCTCCTTGGAGCTTGTTAAAGTTAAGGGTAGTCTGGGCCTGGGCTTGAGCCCAGAGGGTCTAGACTTCAGGACCTCCAATCCAGGCATTATCTGCATCAGTGGCATTAGGCCTCCATCAAATGATGTCTGCTCTGCAAGACACACATTTTCAACCAGCATCACTTGCATCGGTCGCGAGAGTTGTCGTTAGACGTCACCCAGTGGAGACCTCAAACGCAGCAATATCGGCATCATGAGCGACAGACCACCATCAAATACCTGTAGCAAGCACGTTTCAACCGGCATCAACGACATCAGGGATCATTAGGGGCAACACTTCTCCATCGAAGTCCTCCCATCATCGGCAGCATTGGCGTTGGGCGCCCATCGAATGCTTGCAGCGGGCGTCTTTCAACCGGCACTTCGGCATCAGCAGCAGTTCTTCATGGCAGTCCCCCGGTGAGCGCCTTTCATCCAGCATCATCGGCATCTGTTAGAAGCGCTTCTCTACCGAAGGCATCCAACCCAGCATCATCGGCATCGTGGACGCCAGGCCTGCATACAATGCCTGCAGCGAGCAGCTTTCGGCATCAGTTTACCGTCGAAGTCCTCCAGGTGACCATTTTACCGAACGCCCGCAGCAGGATCGTTGGAACCCAGCATCTTCGGCATCATAGGCTTCAGGCCACTCTCAAATGCCCATAAGGCACCAAACAACCACCATCATTGGTAGTGGCGGCAGTCATCACGCCAACACCTCGAACACAGCTTCATCGGCATCGTCCGCGTCGGACCTCAACCGAATGCCTTTTGTTTACCCAGCATTGTCGGCATCATCGGATGCCACCTGTCAAGCAGCAGCATCGGCATGAGGGGCAGCAACTCCACATCGAAATGCTCCCGTCGACAGCAGATCAACATTATTATGTTAATTCTGCTAGCAGCATGTGCAAAAGCAAAGATGGGCATTCTGGTAACCAATATACTACTACATACCCATCTGATCCTCACGACAGAGGTTCGGTGCATCGCGAAGCGCCACTTCGGCGGCGCTCCAGTAGCTCCTCACCTGTTCCGGCCGGAGATTACGACAAATGAGGTCGAGGTTGAGGGCTTAGGTTTTTGGGCTCTTCCGCTACTTTTCAACGGCCAGCTCAAGAGAAGAGGCATACTAACCGGGGGATCCAGCATGCCTGAGGAACAACTCGGAGCAAAGGCAGGTCCAGGCATATTGGAGGAACGGATGTTAAAAGTACCGCCTTTACACGTTCGAAACTACGAAGTCTTGTTGTCGGACCTCTATTGAACGAGTCGGCTTTGTCTCACATGAGAGGGCCGAACTCAGAATAGGCCTCGCGTTTCTTTCACAGTGAGAACCAAAAGAAGATACACGCCAGACCTCTCCAAGTTTCATGAACCTGGAAGTGATTCTGCCGAGATAGCTTTTGCCGTCGAGCTGCCGTTTCGAGCGCATGCTGAAACGTAGCCACGGAAGCTTCGTGCAAGGAAGAGCCGAAGGATGCGGTGGCCACAGGGGAGCTTGGCCGTACCTCGGCAGGGAGGTTTTGTGCTCTCTAGGAGGTACTCTATAGGGTTACATGGATTCGATCCTATAACCTCACCATCTCGGATCGGGTCTGTGGGAGGTAGTCCAGCTGGAGGGCGCGGTGGCTGGCAGGAGATAGCAGAGATCAACATATGCATTCACACGAACATAGACCAAGAGCAGCAACCATGCCCGATCATGCTTCCAAGCCCGAGGATTCATGCGTTTCCTAGCTACTGATGCCACAGCACCCGCACGACAAACTTCTTCATACAGTAACATCTAGCGACACTACACGGCACTTTTTGCTGAGAGTGTAAGGCTTGACTCCATGCCAGCCGGCTGGGTGCCAGGTAGGGTCAAAACTTAGACTGGGCCATCACAAAGGTCAGAAACAGTCCTTCCCAAATAGCGCGTCGCGGTGCCGCGGATTCCCAGCAGCGCGAATACTTGTGCCGATAGGCAGCAGAAGAGTCGACAGGAGGCGGCAAACCTGGGAAATTTGGCATTCAGTGTTGAGCAATGTGCGTTGCCGTTGACAACCTCCTGCCTCAGTGAGTTGAAGTCAGGCTGAGGCTTTTAGTCGTAGAACCACTGCGGAGCTCCGCGATAACTTGAACAGACTCACGGGTAGAAATGTAGTTTCAAGCGGTTTAGCACGTGGCCTTCGGGGTCTAGGTGGGTGAGCTGGGGGTATTGGTGTGGGGCTTCAGGCCCCACACCTGGGTTTTTGGTTGAGGACCACTTAAAATCTTGAAGCACCCTCATCAAGCCGTGGCACCAGGCGTTGACAGGAAGGTGCGCGACCGCAGAACTCTCCCAGATGATGATCTGTCCGGGTATAAGGCCAAAGAAGAGATTTTTCAAAGCTGTTTTAGGGTTTTGAATTCGGACAGGCGCACCGACACGGTAAAAGCTTTGAGATTTTGGGTTGCCCGCATACTACATCGAATCAGCAGCATCAGGCGGCATGGGCTCCGAAATTCCGCCTCCGGCAGCATAAATACGAGATAAAGAACCGCCAGCTTGGTCACGACCAGAAGGATAAAGCATTTCTCCTCATAGTGTTGTGGTTGTTAACAGAATCTTTCAGTTTCCACATCTTCGTGCTGTGAACGACTTAAAACTCAATCAACAAAGCGTTCAAAACACTGTCTCCAAGGACGTCTGGAGGACTCCAGCTTAGCATGAAGAGGAGGTGTATCCGCAGCAGGACAGTCAGCCCTTCCATGCAAGGTATGAGGACCCACGATTTGTTGAGGTAGCAGACATTAAAGAAGAACTTCACTGCGCCGATAAAGTTCAAAGGCATCAGGAAAAGAAGAGGCATTGTGACCTCTGAGTGGGCTGCTCCCGTGATGTCGACGCCTTGGTGCGCGAGTTCACGCAAGGATGGAGTCGATATTCCAGCCGCCATGAGTACCTGTCAGGGCAGACAAGTAACCATGACCCGAAGGCATGTTCTTCGGAAGCGAGGGCTTGGTTTTGGGTAAGTGAAGGCTGGCGTTTGGAGGTATGTGGGGGCTGTAAATTGTCTTAGTGCTACTCTGGCAGGGTCTGCTGACTCTCAGGGTTAGCCACGAACCAGCCGGGCTTGCCTCGATGGCATAATCAACATCACAGATCTTGGCACCAATCTCCCTCCGAATGTGCTCATCGTCTTCCATACGCGAGCACGAGGCATTCGCGATGGAGCCGGAATAATCTGACAGATCTCTTAGGCGGAGCTGGGTAAACGTGGGTTGGGGGTTTGCCCACTGCGATAGAACAAGAATCTAGGGACTTTGGAGAGTGCAACTCCCACCGAAGCGCCAAGGGCGAAGCCAAAAGCCAAGGAGCCGTTGATGCCGAAGCCCCTCCCAACCCTTCCAGCAGATTTTAAGTAAACTGTTTCTCAGATTTTCCTGCCATGATTGCACCAATGCAACCCCGGACAATGTTGCAAAGTGATTGCTACATATTATATATACTGCATGCATATATATATATATATATTTTACACTCAACACACACATATGTGTATATATATATATATCCGTCCGTTTTCCACAACCGTCCACCGTTTCTGCCCCATAAATATATGAAAGCACATGCGGCCAGGCAAAGCCTGAGGCCTCGTCCGAGTTGAGTTGCTTCGCAGATCGCGGCTTCGCCTCTGACTCGGTCAACCTCCGCACAACAGGGGGCTTTGGTAACAAAAATCAGGAATACCATAACCCCACTTTGACTGTCTCGTTAAGATGAATGGTAAGGGCTTGTAGTAGAGAGGCACAGGCTGATCACGATCAAAGCAGTGGGGGGCCTGCTCATGCTTCACACAGGAGTCAAGAGTCGGGGCACTGGATTTATGGCCATGAGCGGCCCGAATTATTCCCATTTATTCCCGGTTCAGGCCTAGGCATGCCGTTGTGCAAAAGTGGCTATGCAGGGATGTTGAAAAAAACAACTTGCACTAGTGTGGAGAGCGTGTAAGAGTGACAGAGTTTGCAAGTAAAGCCCGTGCAAATCGCAGCAACAGTAGTAGCAGCAGTATTTGCAGTAGCAGTAGCATCAGCCTTTGCAGCGTCTTCTTTAGAAACCTGGCATCGTGGAAGGTGTCTTCCCAAGCGCCTAAGCCTCGACTCGTGTTGTGACAGATGTATTGACCCTTCAACCGGTGTTGGACATGTCCGGGGGCTTGATGGCAAACTCCTCAATCCCTAACACTTCAACCTCGCCCTCCAAGAACAACAGTATCCGGCCTCGAGCAGCAAAAACGAACTAGCAAAGGCCAGCAGTTCCATCCTCTGAAGCCCTGCATAAATCGCCTGTGATATGCGGACTTTGGGACAGCAGGGTTCCAGCATCTCTTCGGGCCGGGTTGTTTAGGTCTGAGCAGCTTCTTACCGGGCACCGGAAGTTGAAAATATAAAGAACCCTTAAGTGAGTACCGCATGGAAACAGCGAAGCTTCCACACACCCGCACTAGATGGTTCCAAAAACAAGTTGATCCAGAAAGAGTGTTGAAGCAGCCAGATGTCATATCCGATGCCATGGTCTGTGCCTTCTTTGCCTCGAAGGGAAGACTGGCTTCAGCAGGGTCTCGAGGGCTGAACAGAGGGCCTAGAACCAAGCGAAGCCCACACTGGCTCACACAGCTCCGTAACGTTCTACCATCCGTTTCCAAGAACTTGAAAAAGGAGATCGAGCATTCCGAAACCTGCCAACACCACATCGAAATTCAAGACCAACTTTTCTAACGCTTGTAGGGCCTACAAGGTCTGGTGTGTGTGTGTGTGTGCATGCTAGCATAATCTAGCATAATCATGCATAATCATGCATGTATGTAGAGCACCCCAGTCAGGGTTTAACAACCAGGGGGTCGGTAAAAGGTCGAAGGTGTACGGTAGGGTTGCTGTTTCCAGACTTGGGTGTTGCTCCCTCCCTCGTTCCCTGCCGGGCAACCCACGGTGCACCAGTTCAACACAAGGAACCTTCATTGGCATTTCGACAGATACAGTTTTTCCCGCATTTCACGTTTCACCGGAAAACTACTTTGTCCAATGTTCTCACTAGATCGCTATGCCGTTCGCTTTTGGTGTTTTCGGGAAGAAACAGCAAGCAACTCAGTATGAAAAGTATTCCCAAAAGCCCAGGAGCCAGGCGGTGGTCTCACCCACCAAATTCAAAAAGACCTGGCGATTGTGGTTTTCCGTGCCTATGCTCCATGCTGCAGCAATCGCTGCCACGCAAAGCGCCGCCAAGTTCAGTGCCGCATTCCAGTTGTGTACATCCACCAACACCTGAAGTGTTCCCGATACTGGGCTGGCAGCCATAACGGTGTTGCAGAGCAGGTCTTCTCACCAATGTTGCGAGGACGACTAAAGAAAACATATTTCCTACTGCATCCTCAATACGGTATTTACGGGTATCTCACTATCCTCACAGATTGCTGTTCAGACACTGCAAGAGCCATTCCAACGATGGCTGCCAAGAACATGCGCAGCATAGCCTGGCGAATTGCTGGCCAGTTCGAAGCTCTGGCTATGAGAATCGTCTTGCCCTCTTCTTGGGCTAGGTAAGCCTCATATGCCTGGGCTTTGAAGCAACCAGGGAGAAAATCATCATGGTAACTTTACAGAACAGGTCCCCAACACGAAATCAAGTATGGCACTCCAGCAATCAAGACGCACACCAAAGCCGAGTGTAAATCGACCGGTGATGGTTTGGCACCACCAGGACGTTCGAAGAAGCCTCCAGTGCAATCGCAAACGGCGAGTGCAGCGGAGACTGAAGCATGCTTGAAATGTCCAGGTGCTGGGGATTCGCCAGCATGCAGCACCAAGCATGGTGCATCAGCGGTGGCCAGGAGTGAAGAACCTTTGTCATGAACTCGAAGAGACCCTCCTGCCACGCATGGCTGATGAAGAGATCGCAGTCTAAGCCGTTCGGATTCCGCATCAAGGCCCAGCTCATCTTGCCCGCGAGTGCTGTCACAGGCTTGATATGCTGCTCCGTCAC